CACCATGCATCTCAAGGTGCGGGCCACGCGTCGTCCGTCAGCCGGGATTTTAGTGTGAGTGGAGTGGGCTACTTTTGTATTGGATTACACTAGCGGAAATGTACGTGCGACACACACGTGTCTATGAAAAATCTTCCATAATAGAAAAATAACAATCAAATTTCTAAATCTAGTTACTATAACTATAAAATCGTAGTCCTCAACCATAAAGCCTAATTTTTTATAATGCATAGAAGCAATCTTGAACTCATATCATCATTGGCCTAGTCATAAACTCATAAAAATTTACAGCATCACTTGTAATGTCATATGGAAAGAATATTTTTCTAATGCATAGCGAAGTATACCGGCAAAATATTCACAAACTCAAATCAATATTATTCTAGGCCCAAAGTAATAAACAATTACCATCACCTCTATCCTAATTGAAAATAAAGAATATTGATCTAGGCATACATATATATTCAGGTGAAGACCAAACACATCCAATAAACAGAGACATAAATATTGTATCTGGCACTTTTGGTAAAGAACTCAATGAACTCACTTGCGCATGTTCACCAGGTCTGGGTACCTCTCTAGTGCTTCCTTCACAAACCCCTTGCCATCCTTCTTGTCGAACTCCACTTGCACCGTGCTCTTGTCGACAAGTTTCAGGTTTGGCAGCTACATGAACCGTATGCTCTTGACCTGCCTAATGTTACCTTGTACTTGAAGACGTACTCCTGCACAAGCGGGATCACCATGAGCTACACGAACATTCAGTTAAATACAGAGCAGGCAGCATATTGGAGTCAAGGAGTAAAATCAAATATACATTTACTGAACTGGAGCAAAATATAACAGAGCTACAGACCAGTTATTTATATGTAGATGGATACAAAATATGCCTGCAGTGCCATTGATCATAACATTTATGGATAGAGGCTCTTTGATAGGGAAAACAAATTCAGTGAGCAGGTTTGAGTATCAATTGCACGTGCAGCACTCACGTGTATCATAAAACTTTATTCACAATAGAAGAACTATATACGCACACTTAATAAATTAAGGACAAACTTTGGTAAGGAAGTTTCAAGAGGCTTAAAAACTTAATTGATATTTGTACATACAATTTAACAATTAAGCAAATGCATCAATTCCTGCCTCTCAAGAGCGGGCCAAATTAACTATTTAGATATACCATATCTCTTGGTCAAGCGTGAATATTAGAATTTTCAGTTAGATAAAAACTCTTTTTATTCAACAAACAGAACATTTGTTCTGAAACCCTTGACAATTTGAATTCATTTCCTCTAGGTCAAGCTTATTTTAAATTAATTGTTTAAGCATCACATATCTCTTAGTCAAGTGTGAATATTAGAGTTTTCGGCTGGATAAAAACTCTTTTATTCAACAAACAGATCATTGGTTCTTAAACCTTGACATTTTGAATTCATTTCCTATAGGTCAAGCTTATTTTAAAGAAGGCAATATTGCTACTTAGACTTATTATTACGGTCAAGTGTGAATATTAGAGCTCTCAGCCGGATAAAAACTTATTTTGTTCAATAAACAAACCATTGGTTCTTAAACCCTTGATATTTTAAACAGTATTTCCATGAGGACTTCTAAAATTTGTAAATCGGTAAATGCCATCTGGACTGTGTAAATTAGATGGCAGTGTATTTATTAGGCTATAATCGAGCATGTTTCGAGGGTCCTCCTCCCTCTGGTTAGCTTGATGAGGAACTTGATGATAATTAAGAAGCATGGCGGGTTTATGCCGAGGGCATCACACGTGGATTGGACATGCGGTGGTGGACGCGAGCTAGCAAATAAACCGTAGCAAAGAACTGCACTATGATATTCTGCCATATACATGTAGAGATATCTCACGGGGGCATCACACGCGGATCTGACACACGGTGGTGGACGCGAGCAAGCAAAGAACTGCACTATGATATCCTGCCATATACATGTAGATATATCTCACTTATGTCCAATAAATATAATAATTATTATTATATATAGAAACATCTCTACTAATTGTAGCACACTTTATCGTACTACAACTTCATTCATCAAAGGAGCAGAAATTAAAGTAAAGTCCATTAATTAAGCACCTGAAATTCCATTCGATTAGTCATGCATGACAAGGCTCTCCAGCGAGCATTTTTCACCAATCTTAGACAATGACCTTTTCTTTGACCTCAACTGAAAAATCAAAGGACACAGATTAGATGAAAGAATGACCAAATAGCAAATGTGCTGACAGGTAATTGAAGTATGACTGCAGATATAGTATACAGAGCAGTAAACTCATCATCAATTAAAAGTCTATTTTGTTATAGATACTATGACTGGAAAAGCAAAAAAAATTATGATCACTTAAAACCAAGAATATACAAACGAAGGGGCAAAAGTACACTTGATGACCCGTAATCCAATTATTCTGACAAGAAAATCTGAAAGAAATGACTACTCAAAGCAGTGATGCCAATGCAATGACCTTGACAATAACTCTGAAACAAAGTATTGTATAAGACGACTAAACAAACCTAGAAACATGGACAACGCATCAACATCAACTAAAACCAATGAGCATGAAAAGTGACATATATAGTCTATGTACGATCTAACAAATTAAATTATTGAATGAACAAGTAAAACTGATAGTTCTCACCTCGTTGTTGTGCCTAGACTTCTTGCGGCAGTTGGTTGCCCTGTGGGGAAGCCGTGCATAGCACCTGCAGGAGAAAGACTGAATTTTTTTATACGTGGAGAGGGATCGGAGTATGCGGCCGTGGCCTTTGCCGCCGTGCAGGACACGGAGGCCCTAATGGCGTACGTACCACGCAGGCGCCGCGCAGGAGGGCATCATGGAGGGCGCGTCTTCTTGCCTCGGGCCTTTGGTCTCCTGGTGGTGCGGATGCGGCTGCGGCCTCTGCTGCCGTGTAGGACGCGGGAGGCCCTGATGGCCTACAACGCAGGCGCCGCGCAGGAGGGCACCATGGAGGGCGCGTCTTCTTTCCTCGGGCCTTTAGTCTCCTGGTGCCGTGGGCCAATGCAGCCGCCATCATCGAGGCTATGCGGAAGGATTTGGAGGGGAGATGCAGATGGAGAGGGAAAGGGAAAGAGGTCGTCGGGAACATCGTCGGCCGGGGGTCGCGAGGCTGTGGCGGCGCGCGGGGGTGAGAGGAGGAGGGCGGACGCAGGCGTGGGCCGGTGGGAGATGGGGCGCGCGACGATGGGCGCGATGCCTCGGAGGGAAGCGCAGCGGAGGCCGGGAGCGAGATCGGAAACCGCGGTGGGGAAGGAAGCGTCGTGATTCATCGAGATGTCGGACAGGGGCAACCGAAATCAACGCGAGCCTGACCTGTAGGTGCATGCGCGTGGGAGGTCCGCGGGAGGGCGATGGAGGGCAGACACACTAAACACGAGCCGTCGGATTTGGATGAGTAACGAGAGAGAATGGCTAAGAGATAATCTGGTGCATCTGTTTTGATGGTGTTATATTTTCTAGGTGCATTCATGGGTGTGGATGTAACATAGGTCATGACTGTGGAGCAGACATTTGTTATGTGGCTGTAGATTTATTTTAACTGGTGTATTATAGGGGTAGATAGATAGATATATACGTTTCCAGTCCAAGACTTGTGATCGAGATATGACAGAATAAAGTCGTTTTTTTTCTGGAGCTATTACATTCTTAGTGCGAGTTGAAATTGACAACGTGCAGAAATGTGCATCAAAATTCAAATGCCAGCAGCAACTGTGGCTGACATTTTGAAAATCGTTAGAAATGTTTGAAATGGAGGCCAGCATTTCCAGTGTGGTCTCATTACCCCACCTGCTTGCTTGCTTCGTATTCCAGGCCCACATAGGCCACCTGTGAAACAAGCCCACATGTCTCGCTTGGGCCTTTGGATTCCCAAACAAAATCCCAACGCAGACGCAGGCAGGCACCAGCGGGCGATGGGCGCTGCAGCAGGGCGGCGGAGGGCGGAGGCGGCCAGGTCGCTGGGCTGAGGCGGCGCGGGAGCGGCGACCGACGAGGGCTCCCAACTCGGATCCAACGCCGTGTCCCCTCAAAAAAAAAAAAAAGATCCAACGCCGTGTGGATTCGTGCTCTCCCTCCCGCCGCGCCGGAGGAGAGGGAGTGCCGGGCCGACGCCGGGACGCCGTGGAGGAGAAGGAAGGTGGGGCTACGCTTACAGCGGAGGCACACCGTCACTGACCTCTGCCCCGGTGAGACCGCGCCGCCTCTGTTTCCCTTTCCCCTCCCATGTGCGTCTGCCCCCGCGCGCGGGCCGATGGGATTTTACCCTCCATCCGTTGTGTGTTTTTCATCTGTATGTAAATCCCGTCCGCCTCTGTTCATCCAAATGCACGTCTGTAGCTTGTGCTATTTGGGGATTTTGTTTACTGGCCTTAACTGAGATGAACGCTACCTTGATAATTCGGGATGGGATGAACGCTACCTTGATAATTATTTCGTGATGGGATGAACGCTACCTTACCAAGTTGCTGAGCGGAAACCTGACTGTCTGACTGGCACTGCCAAGTTGCTGAAAAACTGTTTGCCTTGCAGGAGTCGTTACATCCGAATTGGAGGTTGGGTGTGATGTGTGAAGGGGTTAGCTGCAACGTGGCTTGCTAGACAAAAATCATTAAATCCGGTTCCGTCATTGCCTGTGCAGAATCTTGCATCTCGTAGCAATCTAGTTCATGACATCATGCATAGACGATTGTATCTTGCAGTGATTTTTCGATTGCAATGGGCCACACTTGTTTTCTGCTTCCTTTCCTCCCAAATGCTGTAGCTAAGATTCAAAGACTTGATGCATATCTGCTTTTTGTTCAACCAAAATCGAACATAACTTATGAACCTTGGATTCTGACATCGAGGCTAAAAGGAATTAATGTCGTCATTTTCCTTTCAGGTGAGGTTGATTCTATGAAGTACATGCCACCGTACAACAAAATTTCATAATGCTTTGGCAAACGAGTTGTAGGCTATGGCAACCCGTATCCTGTCGCGTCAAAATCTGAGAAAGTTGGTTTCGCTCACACTCCAGAATATATCCCAGAGGCAACTAATTTCGCCATACCCTCCAGCTCTCAGGTAATGAAACAGTTTCAATTCTTACCGCTTTTGAGTCCCCAGTTGTATGCATATACACCAAAGGAGAAAGAGAAACACCACATAAGCAGAATTTATGCCTAATTGCATGATCCCAACATCCTGGGGCTTTTCAGGCCGCAACATGTTTTTTTACCTTTTCGATTAGACATAGAGGTTACAACTGATTTTTGCAATATGAAACCACAGAGCTATTACTCCAGTTATTCTGTAAGTAGCAAGTAGTCTCTTCTGCTGAGTTCTGGAACATATATCACGAGAGCTCACTAATTAAGTGTTACCCACTCAGTCAATCAAATTATTGTCTGAAGTTTACTAATCCAAGATGTGAAGCATATTTTAACATGTCAAGTGTTAGCAAGGGTGTCATAATGGTTTTGATTCCTTTTTCATGCATGACGGTTTGATTTAGTTCTCCTTGTATTTTCCTTCTGTTTATTACAGATCTACTATCGCTTCTCCCAGCAAATTCCTCAGCCCCCTTTACCTGTCTGGGCATTCATTGGCTGTGAGATGGGCAACCTATGGATCAGTGAATCTAGTTCTGTCTGATGATGGAAAACCCAAGTTTCAAATTGAGGAGGTGGAGCCCTCCACAAAGAGAAGGTATTTGACAAAGAAGCGCTTGAAGGTTCAGAGGAAGAAGGAAAAGAAGAAGAGGAAGGAGGCAAATAAAAATGATCCACGGCGCATCAGGCCCAAGGGAAAGAAGATAAAACAAAAATTTCCCACACCTGAAGCTAGGCTCAAATATAAGATCGAGAAGGTAGTGTACATATGCTACCATATTATATGGATTGGTCTGGTTTGCTTGGCTCATGTCTTGCTGATCCATTTCTTCATGCATATTTCTTGATGTATCTGTCAATGACATTATGCAAATGAGATTCCTAATTATTATGCAGCATCTGAATCACCATTCTTGTTTTATCCTTACAGTCAGTTTTCTTACAGAACATGTCCTTTAAAATTGTTTTCTCTGCTCTTGTTTCTATGAGTCAATGTAGTGTAGTTCTTTGTATTAAAGCCCATTTAATTTGTTTGAACCCTAATTGAAAACTATATTGTTTAATGAAGACAGTTTGATTTGTCCCTTTTATTTATTTGGTTTCTTAGGAGAAAATAAATTGAAATGAGCCTTTTTCTCTTTCAGGCCAAACTAAAGGAAGCTAGGTTGGTCGAAAAACTAAAGAAGTATGAGATTGCCAAAGCTCAAGGCCCTATGGCTAAACCAGATGATCTTAGTGGCGAGGAAAGATTTTACTTGAAGAAGGTTTCACAGAAAAAATCAAATTATGTCCCTGTTGGAAGGCGAGGAGTGTTTGGAGGCGTAATTCTGAACATGCATTTGCATTGGAAAAAACATGAAACTGTGAAGGTCATATGTAAGCCCTGCAAACCAGGGCAGATCCAGGAATATGCAAATGAGATAGCCCGACTGAGTGGCGGTATCCCTGTCAACATCATTGGAGATGACACCATAGTCTTCTATCGAGGAAAGAACTATGTTCAGCCAGAAGTTATGTCACCTATTGATACGCTGTCAAAGAAAAAGGTAATTAGGATGTTTTTAGTTTAATTTTGTTGGTATGGAAACAACGAATCTTTGTTTATGGATGCTGCAAATGATTTTGTTTCCAAAGATATATTGGTCCACAGCTCTGGGAGCCACCGGCACTGGGTCTGCCCTTTTTTTTAGCTCTTTATACCTCTTCGCTAGTAGCTCTCGTTCAGAGCTGGCAAATTGTTTGTTTATTCTTGTTGGTTCCCCCCTCTAGTGTAACCCAACTCGCTTGAGACTTAAAGGTTTTGCCGTTGCTGTAGATAGATTGATGCATGCTTATGTATGCTATCAAAATGCAATGGCTCTCTGCTCCCTTTATGTTTTATAACACAATAGATATGCACAGAACAATAAACTAGTAAAACTTGTTAAACCGTTTCATTGATTTAATTCATGTCTGCATCATACCTCCCGTGTTCCCAGCTCATGTAACCTAATGCACAGCTCAGGTTTTTGCAATCCTCTTGTCTTGATAGTTAGCCATCATGCCAATTCTAGATCTGCTGCATCTGCATACATCTTTTAAATGCCCTTACATCTGCCCTTCTTTGATCATCAGGCACTTGAAAAATCAAAATATGAACAGTCGCTGGAGACAGTTCGGCGTTTCATTGCAATATCTGAAAAGGAGCTCGAACTTTATTATCGGCATGTTGCACTTTATGGAAATCCACAATCCCAGAAAGCTGATTTTGTTTGTGGTGATGATAGAGAAGCTTCTTTGCTTAAAATGGGGGGATTGGATCAAGGGAAGGACCAAGAGCCTCATCTGGCTACCAATCAATTTTCTGATCTCCACATCTGTGATGTTTATGAATCTGATGAAGAAGATAGTTCCAGTAGTGAATATGATGTTAATGACGATGAGACTGAAAGCATGACCAGCATTTCTGAAGACGCTGTTGTTTCTGATCATGACGATTTAGCCAACTGGGGCGAAGTGTGATTACCTTGTCTCACATAATTACCTTGTTGGCTAGAAATTTGCCTTGCCACCTAATCATAACATGGGTGTTCCTCATCACTCAGTTTGAATGATATCAATGTTAGACTTTGCTGTACTGAATCGTCATATTATGCTGATTAGTGGTTACAGCTTTCTGTCCCTTCTGTTGTCAGCTATAATTAAGCTTATTTTTGTGGTGGTTTACCTTGAAAGGCTTGATGTATGCCAGCACAACAGATTCAGCCGTATCTGTCATCTGTCACCAAATGCGGTGGTGTATCTTTCATATCCTTCTAAAAGTGCTCTCTCCTTGCTGTCAAAAGCTAAGTTAGTTTGGGAGCTGGGACCCATATGACAGCTGTGGAAAAGTATACATTACCAGCTACTGCGAGAGATACTATATTGTACTGCTCAAGAAAGTATCCTCTGAGTTGGCCTCACTACTTGGCCACCAACACCTGAATAAGCAGTGAGGTGATTTCTGATTATGTGAATAACAACCTTTGAAATCCAAGTCTTTCTCATGAGGTGATTGGAGTGGTCACGGGGAACTCGCACGACACTCCCACCTCTTTTTTATCACAGCATCCTTGGAGAATTGCACAGGCCGTGCGTCACTTTCTGGAGGCTCTCCTTTTCTTCCCACAACGATCAATGATGTTGCTGGGTAGCATATATATTATTTCTCAACAGTTGTGACAGTTCATGGGTGAATGAATAGTAGCTGGACAAAAGAGGAACATGCCGTAAGTCAAATATTTGGATAATCTGTCGCTCTCCTTCTGAATTTAACAAAATGCTTGCAAAGTTCTGTCACTGTTTCGTCCCCCCCCAAAAAAAAGTTCTGTCACTGCATTTTTGCATGATTCAGCCACTGCCGTTGTTTGTGGATTTCAAACTTTATCTCTGAGAAGGGTTCTTCCAGAGACCAACTAGAGAAAAGTGTGTGAATCAATTGACTTTGGGGAGAAGCATGCATACAACTATACAAGAATATTTGCGTGGGTTCCCTTGTGACGCAAGTCTTCATTCAAAATTGCAAATGGAGAACCATAACTATTCCACCAGAAAGCCACTTGTGAGCCGGTGAGATAAAAGATGCATGAAGCCCTCAAAATTTATTCTGTTCCTATGGACCATGCTGGCGTATGGAAACATTTGCAGGTATATACGAGCTACAAAACACAAACCACCAACTTGCATTCATATACAGATATTCCTCCTCTTCTAGCTATGTATAGACGCAAAGTCAGGAGACTAATATTGTACGTCGTACATGGAATCATATACTGAAACCAAACTCAACCAAAACTCACAGAAGTCAACACATGTATGCATAAAGCTTGGTCAGAAACATGTATCAACACCAACACGGTTTTGACCACATATATATCTCCATACACGCAAGACACACGAAGCAGAAGTGGTATACTATTCCAATTTTCAATAACAAGCGGTTTTGGATATATATTGTGACTTGCAATCTGTGATGCTTTCTAACAAATAAAAAATTATGATAATATAATTATTAAGTACAACATTCTTAGCTGTATGACGTACGTGTGTCCTGGTGACCAGAGCTGTACATAGCTGACACTAGCATACAGGCTCTACATATATATCCAGCACCCTAGCCAGTGAGGCTAGCATAGAATGTGTTCTTCCACTACTTCACGAGGTAGGTCAACTGCTGAGTAGAGCCGTACTTAAACATATATATATCATCATGCTAAGCATTAGATATAAGTTATTGTTACTGTGTCTAGCTGTCATCTCAAGGAAGATTCATGTACTGGTCTCCCACTCAGCAATAATATCATGGAGACCTTTCTGTGACAAGATTCACATATTCGATCTCCTCTTTTTTCTCTGGTGTGGGGTTATTTGGTTGCGGAATTTTCTGTCGGTACGCCTTTTACTTGGTATCATTTTTATAACTGGCTATGGTCACCCTCTGTTCTCATTACACAAGAACAATTCAGTATGGATGGTCACTTGCTTTTGTTACAAGTTTGGACCACACAAATATCTATCATTGTGTGTATTTCTAACAATAGGTACATAGCTAGTAGAGACAACAATAGTACAATTTGATGGGATAGAATGAAATAGCAGTATCAGCTATAATTGTTGATAAATGATGCAGTCTTAGGGCATATATGATTTAGCAAAAAAATGTTACTAAAGGAACCTTAATATATATGTTGGGACCTGGTTAGTTGCTCACTATTGATGAGCCAAAATCAAAGATAATGATCAGCAGTACTGCTTCTACAGGCAATAAATCATGTATTGCAATCTGGATAGTTAATATATAACACTGATGAGATAGAACTCGATCTGTCGCTTTCGTTCCGTCGTATTACAGGTTTGCTCATCAATAATAATCACTATCCTAGCTAGCTACGACAGCTGGGGCGTTAGCGTGCAATGCATCTTGCCAGTTCCTACTTCATATCCACACAGTCGAAAGGCAGCAGAGATAGACAAAATTTGTTTCATTGGGTAGATCTGTAAAATCTGTAGACCTGCTAGTCTGCTACTAGTGTTCCACATCCCTTTTTTTTTTTTGGCTAGCTTTCTCAATTGAAGGTATACATAAATGTACGATAATATGTAGCCCTTGTTTAGTTTGCGAAATTTGGATTTTGGGGCTACTGTAGCACCTTCGTTTTTATTTGGCAAATAGTGTTCAAACATGGATTAATTAGGCTCAAAATGTTCGTCTCGCAATTTCCTATCAAACTGTGCAATTAGTTTTTCTTTTCATCTATATTTAATGCTCCATGTACGAACCGCAAACATTCGATGTGACAGGTATTGTAGCAACTTTTTGGAAATTGAGGTGGAACTTGTGAAACCGTACGCTATTTATTAATAGCTGAGATCATGCAAGCAGGGTACTGTAGCAGTACTTTTGTGGAGCCTACATTTTTCAAGGAAGGACGGCCAAGCAGCAAATGTGGCGTAGAGATACTGAGAGTGAGAGGTGGTACTGGTGGACTAGCTAGCTATATAACGGTGCCAGGTCCTACCTCTTCTCTCCTCTTCCTTTCTTTCCCCTTTGCCTGCAGCCAACTTTAGCTTCTCTCTCTCTCTCTCTGATATCTTTCTCTCTCTCCCCCTCTTCTCTCTTCCTAGTTCCTACCCCCTTCTCTGCAAGTTAGAGAGATCAGGCCAGGCAGCTGTAGCTAGGCTAGCTAGCTAGGGTTGGTGCTTGGAGGGAGAGAGGTAGCCTTTCCTCCTTTGCATATCAAGCCTTGAGATCACACCTCGCCTTTCTGACCCCCAAACACAAGGTTAGTAGTCTTCTCGGTTGGTGGATACTGGATAGTGGATACCGCCAGAGGTAGACAGATCAAGGAGCGAGGGGAGCTCGGGGTGCAGAAAGAGAGAGGATCATCGGCCAGCTCTAAGCCAGAAGAGGAACAAGGGGGAGATCAGGGGCCTGGCAGTACGTAGCTGTTGGATATATACATAGTGAGTGAGGGCCGGCCGAGGATACTGTACAGATAATCAGATATGTCTCATGCGATGTCCGGCGGTGGTGGTGGCGGCGGTGGCGCGGGGCAGTTCGGCGACACGACGTTCACCAAGTTGTTCGTGGGGGGCCTTGCGTGGGAGACGCACAAGGAGGGCATGCGGGCCTACTTCCAGCAGTTCGGCGACATCCTTGAGGCCGTCGTCATCACCGACAAGAACACCGGCAGATCCAAGGGATACGGATTTGTGAGTTCCAAACCCTTCCCCCCTTTTTGTCTCTTCATTCAGAACCATCCTATATAATTTCCTGGTTTGTTAACATATGGTTTACTATTTCTTCTCTAATCCTAACCTTTTTAAGTTCTTCGTTAATTGTGTATATATCCTCATCAATTCAGTTGAATAACCAAAGAGTTAGTTAATTAGTGTCCAATAATTAACAAGCTGCACACATGAACCATTGAACTGATCAAGAGCTTAATATATACGGTATTGAAATAGTTTGTTGATGGTTATAAGAGCTTGGATATTGCAGGTAACTTTCCGTGAGCCAGAGGCGGCGATGAGAGCTTGCATCGATCCGTACCCGGTGATTGATGGAAGGAGGGCCAACTGCAATCTTGCCTATCTCGGCGTCAACAAATCCAAGACAGCACTGCTGCCTCCCTATCTGCAACCATATGGTAATTATATTGTTCATTATTGGATTTGTCTTCACTCTTTAACCATGAAACTAGTAAATCGTTTCATCAACAAATTAATTAATGTTCATCAAAAGAAATTTTAAGCAATATAAAGCCTGATTGAGCTTCTTAATTCATGCCAGATATATATACTGTTGACTCTTTGTTCATTAATAAGGACATAACTGATATATATATACATCAATCATGTAGTTCATATAGGCTTTTGCCTTTATTAATGTGCATCTCTTTGCATCATTTTATGTTGATGTATATATGGCTTGCGCATAAACTACGTTGCTGCTGCTAATTAAGCTGTGTTTTCTATAGCTTCTTGCATTAGTGCTGCCTTAAACTAATCTAGACAATATTTCAGGCACTGCACTTTTAGAATCAAATCAAATATTGTCTGAAGCAGCAGGGAATGCATGGTGCCTTTTTGTTTAGAATCAACTGAATAATAACTAACTAGTAATAATTAGTTCAAGTTTAATTTTGTCACTATATATATTGGGTATATGATGTGGTGCTAGCTATTTTGCAAGATCAATTATATTAATGTTGCATTGCATAATATATATCTTCCATTAAAGGCAAGATGCTATGCAGTATATATGTATCGTGCAAATAAAAGGGTCAAAACAAACAACATAGTATCCGGGTATAGTACCCCGACAGTATTTCCGTAAGATGAAAAAAAAGCTGCATCACCTCCAGCTTTCTGCAAAGCGCTAAAAGCAAGCGTGGTTAGTTATTCTTGGGGTTGTTCCTTCCAGGCTAGCTTGCTTCTTCCAATCCTGCAGGTGCAGCTGCATGCAGCTATATTCGTCAGTG